CAATAAATTAGCAGGCTTTTTTGAATCCTAACAAAGAACCTTGCCTTTTGGTAAAACAAACTCATGAAGCACCTCCACAAATGAATCACACTTACAGTCAACAGGTATTTTTTTGTGATCAAGTTTTGAAGACTTCATACTTATATAGGGAAAAAAAAGGTTTTGATAAGAAATGAAGTATCTAGAGAAAGTGAAAATAAAATAGATCAAGGCTGGGTACACGTAGGATTGCAAACAATGAAAAGTCTGAATTCTGAAGTGGTAAGAAATGTTATTTTCATTTTATAGCTTGTGGAATACGAACAGTGTCTTGCTTAAGATGACAATATCATTATAAATCAGAAATGCTCTACTTAGCGTAATTCTTACTGTTTAAGACTATTGCAAAATATTTATTATTTAGCTTGGTAATCTTTAAAAAAATTTTTGGTACTGGGGATTGAACTCAGGACCTTGCACTTTTGAGGCAGGCAGCGGAACCACTGAGCTAAATCCCTGGCCCAAAATATTTATAATTTAAAATCTCTAGAACTTCCTACATCCTTAAAAAAAAGTCTTCATATTCTCTATAATGCTAATTTTCATTTTGATATTCTCTGCTGTTGGGTATTGGCCTGACCATACTTTGACTTACATTTAAGTTGGGAATTACTACAATTATTTTATTCTTCAAACTGTTAAAGTATGTTTTGGAACCTTAATTTTCTAAAATACAATCAAATTTTGGGAGTATGGAAAGAAACTTTCAAATTGTTGATAAAATCATGTAAAGACTTAGTAGTTAACAGCATTGTGTGTATCTTTGTTTCTTTTTGGTCAAATTCAACTACTACGAATTCAGAAGATATGTGGCCATTAGGTAACCAAGAGGATGTATGGAGATCAAGCTCATACAATTTACTCAAAGGAGTTTTTTACTGAGTGCCTTCTTATTTCATTTTAGACATAGTGACTGTATAGCTACTTTGACTTCTTGTTTCCCTGAATATGGAAATCAGAACAATTCAGAGAACAGTGAGAAACTGTAGCATTAGGTGGGTGGAGGAGAACAGGAGTTGCGAAAGGCTGAAACCATGAGGAGGAGAACAATCTGATTTGTAAAAATGGTCAATAAACTACAGAAAGCATACGTGAATTTGAAAAGCATAGCAGCATAAGGCCATTTAGATGAGGGATTCTACACATCTTGATAACTACTTAATCTATCCACAGAATAACCACTATGGGTAATGATTACACTGAATCATTAAAAATGCATGTTGATTTCCTAAAATGAGGGGAGAAGTGTTCCTTTTTTTTTCTGCTTTAAATGTTTGATATAATTCATCAGTTAAAATGTATATGAGCCTGTTGTTGTCATATAGGTAGGTTTTCAAGCTAGGAATATACTTTCTTTAATAGGTGCTATTCAAATTTTATATTTCCTCCAGAGTTAGTTTCATTAATTTGCCTTCCAAGGTACTTCTTAGAAGTTGTCAAATTTATTTCAAAAGAGTTTTGTAATATGCTTTTTATATCCTTTTAAATTCTGTAAAATCTGTGGTAATGTCTCCTAGATCTTGATATTGTAATTTAAAAAATGTATAATTGATATTGTGTAACAGGAAGAAAAGGTCTAAAGGAGTAGGGGAAGTGGGATGGGTAGGGGAAGGGAAAGAAGGGAAAAGAAAAAATATAAGAAAAGGAAAAAAATGGAAACAAAGTCTTTGCAAGCAGGGAAGGGTGAAGAGAGTGAAGGGAGGGCAGGGGAAGGGGAAAAAAATAAGAACCAAGATATTCATGTAATGGTACAAGATCCCAATGATGAATGTAACTGTATTTTATACCTAAAATGTACCAATAAACTTAATGGGGGGGGAATGCCTAAGTAATACTTAGTGCTATCTAGAATGATTTCCTGAAAATGGGCAAATTAAGTCTTTGTTCTTTAAGAAGTATGTGGAAAGCATTTTCCCATAATTTATTAGAAAGGAAATACTAAAGTAGATACAGGTTGAACATTTCTAATCTGAAAGTCCTTATCTGTAGTCATTTATAATCCTGCTGTAAAGGTTCCCTGGGTGTTTACAGATACAAATTTTAACTTATACGCTATATAATATCTACATACCCTCCATCAAGTACTTATTGCATAAAGAAAACAAACCCCTTTGAAAATGGAGAAAGTAAAAGAGAAGATAGTGGTTATGTAAGTTATAAAATTCTATTCTGCTGGGCCAGGGATTTAGCTCAGTGGTGCCACCGCCTGCTTCAAAAGTGCAAGGTCCTGAGTTCGATTCCCAGTACAAAAAAAATTCTATTCTGCTATATATATTTTTGGGGGGGGGTACCAGGGATCGAATTCAGGTCCTTTCACTTGCAAGGCAGGTGGTGGCACCACTGAACTAAATCCCCAGCCGGATTCTGCTGTATTTTTAAGAAAGTACTTTTTTTAATCTTTCAGACAACAAAGTTCAAAAAGTTTTTGATCTACCTCTGTACTTACCCAGATAAGTTAATTTCACTTCTTTTTTGACCATGGCGATCAAAGATTTTCACAGTATGATCAGCTCTGAAAGCAATTAGAATATAAATATATGATTTTAATGTTTTCTTTATCTATGTATATAAACTATTAAGCTACCATCCAAGTGATTTCAGCAGTCTCTCAAGGTTTCACAGTTTATATCTAAAAAGTTATTATCCCGGAAAAGGTTCTACCAATAGGAACTGTAATGTTAATGGAGATGAACGTATTCCTTTTCCCACCATGCACCTGTCACACAGGAACCTCTACTAAACAGATGGTAGGTATGGTTATGTGGGTTATACAATCATTATGTAAAACATTCGCTGGTTTCTTACCCTGTTACTGCAAGGTAGTTTGCTGATGTTTTTTGCCAGGTAAACTGTATTGGTGTGCCAAGCCAAGTCTTTTCTAGCAATGTGAAAATACGCTAAAAAACAAACACAATTTTTATATTTTCAAAATGTATACAATAAAGAGTTGGTGAGAAAAGATGTCAGAACAACATCATGAAAACAGTAGGATTTAGGAGGGTGAAGGCTGCTGTTTGTGCTTATTCAAAAATAGTTAATAATAAAACAAAACAAAAATCACCTAACCAACCAAACACAAGTGGTGGATATAGTATGAGGCTCAGGATAGAGAACATTTATTATAAACCTTTTTGTTCTTGAATACTTTTGAATGTTAGTTTTATAAAAATGTATCTTTTTAGTGTTTTATAGATGTTAAAGACTAAAAGAATTTAAACTTGAATTTAGTTATCTACAAACGTCTGGGGTTAAATTTAACATAATTTCTATGTAAATATCCTAAATGGTTTTTTTAAACATAAAAATGCTTATCTCTTCTTCAAAATTGCTTTCTTCTTTTATCTACTAGTTATATCTACTTCAAGTTAAATGTTTAAGTGGCTGTGGGTGGACAATGTATCAACTGAAAAATCTTTTCATTTATACAATTTAGAACTGTAATATTTAATATAGAAACCATAGACCATATGAAATTATTGAGTACTTGAAATATGGGCAATCCAGATTTAGATGTGCTGCAAATATAAAATACATATCAGATTTCAAAGACTGAAAAAAAGAATGCAAACTAGCCTACTGGTAACTTTTCTATTGATTACATGTTAAAATACATTTTGGATGTACCAGGTAAAAGAACATATATTGTAAAACAAAATTACACTTTAATATTAATTATAAGCAGTGAGGCCCATATATGTAAGTATATGGAGTTTAGATTCTACTGCAGGAGACCTGGGTCTGAAGGGCAACACAAAACTCAGTGCTCCAAATTAAACACCAGTCAATAAGCATTTCCTATGCTACAAACGGAAGCAGGTGCTAGAATCACGATTGAAAGCAGAGGTGGCCTATGATCACAGGTACATTCAGGTGTGATAGACCAAGGAGATGCTGAGAAGGAGTACTGAGAGAGTACAGGATATGAAAGCATCTTGCTTTTGCAATTTTGTAACTACATTGCCCAGGAGCCCTTTCACAAAAGTGAAGAGTTCTTAAACTTGAACTTCATTACCACCTTCATGGCAGACTTGCCTCTGGGTATGATCTTACGTATTATTTTTCTTCCAGGGAACTCTAGAGAACACTGATGGTGAACCTTTTAGAGCTTTCAATGGTAAAAACAGCTCACTGTCGCACACGTGCCCTAGGTTCGCCACCACTGCTATAGATGCTCTAGGTATAATGCAAAGGAAAAAGTACTAGCGTCACAACGAGAAAACCAAGATTTAAATTTTGCTTTTCACTTATTAGCTGTAGGGCTTAAAGCAAGTCACTAAAACTGCCTCAAGCACAGGATTTTCAACTGTAAATCAAGAACAGTGCTTCTTCACTACTAACATTTCATATATTGTGACGAACTTTAAACATGGGAGTTAGGATGACAGGTCTGTTAATTCCAATTTCCGCAGTGATAGCCACAAAGAAGCATTAGGACGCCCAAAATAATTTTAAAATTGAACTTTCCTGTTCTTTGCCAGAGCAGGCCAGGGCGTACGGCTGCGGAACTCGGAAAGCAGAAGCAGCTGTGGCCAAAGGCGTGGGTTTCACGAGAAGCCCAAGCCCAGAAAACCTGCGAGCAGAGGCTACGCGCGTCAGCCAGAGACCTGCGCGTGCAGGCGCAGGTTTCGCCAGGAAGAAGATGCCCTCGAGGCCCGGCGAATCTGTAATTGGATCGTCCCAGGGAATGCAATTCGAAATTATTCTTTCGGAGACTTTTCACTTTTTATTTTATTTTAGGATGCAGGGCGGTTGTATGGCCTAGCAGGGTTTAAGCCCCAACAAACGAGGCAGCTCCGTGACACCGGATCGAGTCAGCTTCTCCGTGACCCGTACCTTTTGCCGTAAAGTTAAGGTGTCTTCAGATCCAGCCTCCTCATTCCGGCCGTGGAGGGGTTTTCTCTTCCTGCTCCGCATCTACTCGGTTTGCGGTCCCAGAAATGACAGGCCTCCTCCTCGGCTCTTTTTCTGTTATTTCCGCCCCCCCTTTTCTCTCGTTCCTTCAATTTTGCCCATACCCTCCTCATCCCAGGGCATCCTGCTCTCTCCTCACTTCTCACTCGCTCCAGGGAAGGGAATAAGGAGCAGACTGTCTCAAGAGGATGCTCAGTGGGCTGCGGGAAGGGCTAGTGGTCGCGTCTTCCCAACCCCTAGCGATTTGTAAGTTATTTACCTTCATCTCAAGCCTCCAGCAGCCGCGCGACCTAGCAACTGCGCAGGCGCACAAGGTCTCCTTCAAGAGGGCTACCGCGTTCCCGTCACCCAGGAGACCGCACGAGGAGCGGCCAATCAGCGAGGGTTAGCTGAAGGGTGGTGTCCAGAGGGGTGGTGCCTGGGGCCCTCCGCTGGGAAAAGAGGGAGGCGTGGTTAGGGTCACGTGATGAAGGCGGAGCTAAACCCCGGAAAGTTGGGGAGAAGTAGAGGTCTAGCGGCGGCTGTGCTTCCTGCCTCGGCTCTGATTGGGTGAGATAGGAAGAAGAAGGCTCTGTAAGCCCTGAGAGGAGCCTGCGTAAATATTGCCCGGCTGGTGATTTAAAAGCCTGGGAGGGCGCCTGGGAGTTCAAGATATGAAAAGCCCGGAACGTTGGCTACTGGCAGGCGGGAGTTGAGTCACTTGCTAAATGCTCCTGCACAGTCTATGCAAGAAGGTTTGGACGACTCCATGTGGCATCTTTCGTCTTTTTTTTTGCAGTTTTCTGACCTTCCGGGGAAGAGAGTGAGAAGTAGTTTCTCTCAAGTTAGTTTTTTTGTTTTGTTTTGTTTTTCCCTTCAACCAGCTGGGCTAGCTAAGGTGGCAAGAAAAAAAAATGAGCTTCTCGTTTGAATATGAGCCTGGAAGTCTTTCCCCCAGTACTAATCCCTGCCATAGTACAGTGTTTGTGCACCATTTTTTACAGTATGAAAGTGCATCTTTTGCACCAGTATCTGAAAATGTTGAAACAATCCACCTTTTTCATTTCTTTTTTCCTCTCAACATCTGGTTGGAATCTTGCTTCAAGAAAACTAGTGATTTGAAATAACCAACGATGGATGTTTGTGGGTTTTCCAGAAGGACAGTACTTCTTTGCCCTGGAATTTTCATTTGGGTTAATTCTTAATTTCAGACCACCTAGCATTATGCTAGAACTCAGTGACAAGTGGAGAGACCCCAAATACTTGGAGGTTAAACAACACACCTTAAAATAGCATATAAGTTAAAGAAGAAATCTCAAGAGGAATTTCAAAATATTTTGAATTAAATGAAAGTACAACTTATCAAATTTTAAACGATGCAATTAAAGTAGCCCTTGGAAATTTATAGCATTAAATGTTTATTTTAGAAAAGAAAAATCCAAAACTAGTAATCTAATCTTTCACTTTAGGAAACTAGGAAAAGAAAAGAAAAGCAAATCCAAAATAAGCAGAAGAAACGGTACGATTAAAAATTACAGCAGATACAAATGAAATTGAAAACAAAAATCAACAGAAAATCAACAAGACCAAAAACTGCTTCTTTGAAAAATTTTAAAAATTGCTAACTCGGCCCAGATCGAGAGGAGTGGGAGGATACAAGTTGCTAACTGCAATCTGAATGACCTTTATTTATAAAGGAATTGATTTAATAATTAATAAAAATCCCAAAAGAAAGAGGCAAACCCTAATGGGCTCACTGGTGAATGCTACCAAACATCTAAAGAAGATATTTTACCTTCTCTATAGTCCCTTTCAGAAAATAGAACCTGAGGAAATCCTTCCTGAGTCAGCCTGTGAGGTCAGCATTACAATAATATGAAACCCAAGCAAATACACTACACAAAAAGAAAATATGGACCAATATTCTTCATTAATATAAGTGTAAAATCTTCAACAAAATATTAGCAAATCAAATCCAACAATGCATAAAAAAAATTATACTCTGAGACCATGTAGAATTTACCCCAGGTATGGAAGACTGGTTCTACATTTGAAAAGCAATATCCATACCATTATGCTAAAGAAAAATTACATTATCATGTAAGTAGATGCAAAGAAAGCAACTGACAAAATCTAGCATCCATTTGTGATTAAAATTCTCAACAAACTAGGAATGGAGGAGAATTTCTCAACTTGATAAAGAACACCTACAAAAAACCAGATAACTAACATCAGACCCAATAGAGAAACTTGAAACTTTCCCACTAAGGTCAGGAAAAAAGCAAGATTGTCCCCTCTTGACACTCTTTTTCAACATCACACTGGAAGTTCTAGTTAATGCAATGAGAGACAAAAAGAAATAAGTAAACTAGGGAAGAGAAACTGTCTGCATGTGATGTAGTTGTCTATGTAGAAAAATAAAACAATGGACTAAGAAACTCTTGGAATGAATAAGTGGTAGCAAAGTTTCAGCATACCGTGTTAATATATAAAAGTCATGATTTCCTCCTTGATTTTTTTAAAATCAAGCAAAAATAAAGTTATTAGGATTACAGTTTATTTACATAGATAAGAACAATTTTTGTTATAAATTATCAAAGAAATACTAAAACTGACTTTTCCTTTCTTCTAAAAGTCCATTTTGGGATTCATATATGTGAAGCACATTATTTTAACCTTCTCTCTTTATCATAGTCATGCTTATGTATTAAATACCAAATTGTGTCTGATCATGAATTATTGACAGCATTCACTTAAAACTTAATTTGCTTTGCACTAGGCTTACAAATGACCTACTTCAGGCTTACTGAGTACGATTTTTATTTACAAATGCATCTGCTTTGTAATTACCTACTTGTAGTATTAGAGTCTCTCTTTTATTTGTGTTTGTATTGATTTTAGAACATTTTAGATCTATGAAATACTGTTAAACACTTATAAATCAAGGAGAAATAAATGTGGAAATAGCAATTACCTATACTAGTAAAAAAAATATATAAAAGTCAATTGTTTTCCTATATGCTAGCAATGAACAAATTGAATTTGGAATTAGAAACACAATACCATTTACAGTAACACCTTCCAAATGAAATACATAGCTAAAAATCTAACAAAATATGTACAAGGTCTACACAAAACTACAAGACTCTGATGGAAGATATCCAGGAACTAAATAAAGTGACAGATATTCCCTATTCATGGACTGGAAGACACAGATATTGTAAGATGTTAGTTTTCCTCAATTTGATTTAAAGATTTAATGCAATCTCAATCAAAATCCCAGGTAGTTATTTTGTGAACAAACTGAATATGAAATTGTAGGGAGAAGCAAAAGACTAACAGTAGCCAACTTAGTATTGAAGAAGGCCAAAGTTGGAGGATTGATACTACCTGACTTCAGGACTTACTATAAAGCTACAGAAATCATGATAGTGTGATGTTGGTGAAAGACAAATAGATCAATAGAACAGAATAGAGAGCTCAGAAAAGATCCACATAGATTTAATCACTGATCTTTGACAATGGAGCAGCACTAATCTTTCCAACATAGGTTTTGGAACAACTGAACAACGTCACAGGTGATGTCTCAGCTGACAGCTAGTATCAAACCATCTGAGATCAAACCATCTGAGAGCAGCCTTGTGTACCCTAACATCAAGCCCACAAATGGTAACAGTCTGCCAGCATCACACAGAAGCAGAGAGCTGTCATGGAGAGCCCATTCAACCATGAAATTGTGAGCGAATGAGATGGCTGTTGCTTTAATCTATAAATTCACACATCCCATGTCAGGCTATCCTGCCACAGACTTCTTTTATAACAACTAATATGAATGTGATATTTGCATGACCTTGTGAAATGAAACTACATTCTTTTCATTGTGTGCGTGTGTGTGTTACTGTGGGTTTTTGTAATTAACTACATCCCCAGCCATTTTTTTCCCCCTTTTTGTTTTTTATTTTGAGACATCTTTTCCATATTTTTAAATCAGATTGTTCATTTTTATTGCTAGGTTTGAAAAGTTCTTTTTGTGTTTTGGATACAATCCTTTATCAATTGTGCCTTTTGCAAATGTTTTCTACCAGTTGGTGGCTTATCTTTTTTTCTCGACACTATCTTTTTCAGAGCATGAGTTTTTAAATTTTATGGATGGTGTTATTGTGGACAGTACTTTTTTTTAACATGTAAGGAAACTGTCCCAATTAACAGTTATAGAGCTAACGTTTACAGTGTCAGTCCTCAAAAATGGCTCTGAAAGCCATGGAGAATTGCAATTTTTAACTTTGCTGAGGTTGAAAATTTTTTCAGATCATTTCCTTTATTAGTACTTTTGTAGTGCATAATGTTTACATTCCTTGTGGGGAGTTGGCATATGTACATAATACATCTCAATTCCTTTTTTCATCCTCTTTCCCCTTTGATCTGTCTCCCTACCTCCTATTCTCAGCACCTGTCCCTTCCTCCAAAAATAAAAACAAGTAACCCATAGAAAATATCGTTAAAAATTTCATTAGCTTTGAGAAGTTTTTATTGTCTTAAGCTTTTACTTAAAATTGCTCCATGGAATCTTATAAAACTGGCAATAAAAAATTTGTGCATTAAACATATCATTCATTAAACATTTATGCACAATTACTTTCCAAACAGCTGTTTTATCACTAGTTCATTGTAAGCACCGGCAGTTAAAGTCATACAGAATGTATTAATTAGTAACATTGAGAAAGAGAAGAGGGGGCCTGGACCTGCCGGAGCTGGCCCAGAGTGCACTCCAGGCCTTGGCCTTCTCCTGTCACATAGAAACAGTTTCACAGAACACCGGCATTAGACAAGGCCAGTCTGAGGCCAGGCTCAAATAAGACAACACAAGACCAATTCATAATTTTGTCTAAATGTGCCCAAGAATAAAGTCACCACGCCACCCACACATCCTCCTCTCAGCAAATCTAGTCACAGTTTGTCTTTACCAAGTACAGCATTAGCTTCATTCTACTCTGCCTCCCTAGAAGTTTGATTTGTTCCGCTAGCTAATTGCAGAATTGTCCTCGCATACTGTCAGCACTCAGTTTAGAGTGAATCCCTGCCTCCTTGAACTCTTCCCCAAATGAGCCAGTGAAAGTCTGAATCCCATAATAAGTTCTAACAACCTCTCACTGAGGTGCTGGGCCTCATGGTGAGCATTCTGCCTCCCTGAAGTGAATCATAAGACCAACTCACTCAGCCATAGGTGTGCTCCTGACTGCAGGGCACTGACAGCCTCTAAGATGATGTGTAATACGATGTGGTTCATGGGTATATATTTCTTTCAACACGAAAGGGATATTGATTTTCTGACT